CGAATTGGTCGCGACCCGAATCAAATTTTCCCATAAGGTTCAATGTAAATAAGGTTAATCCGTTTGAACCATATGTATTTTTTTTTTAACCACAAAAATATGAAACAAAGTACAGTACAGTACAGTATGAAGAGAGGGAACACTAACCTTGCTTGAGGCGACACCAAAAAGCTTCACAGCAAGTATCTGTTCCCATAAGGTTCAATGTAAATAAGGTTAATCCGTTTGAACCATATGTATTTTTTTTTTAACCACAAAAATATGAAACAAAGTACAGTACAGTACAGTATGAAGAGAGGGAACACTAACCTTGCTTGAGGCGACACCAAAAAGCTTCACAGCAAGTATCTGTCTGCGACCATGATCTCGCCTAGAGGAAGCCACGATCACGTGTCAGAGCAGGGAAGATGGCCGCGGGTCGTATCCATCACCCTATGCGGAGTTCGCGAACGGAAGCAAAAATTTGCAAAAGCTGCTGTTCGCGAACCAAATTGTTCGTGAACAGAAGCATTCGTGAACTGAGGTATTACTGTACCTACTTGTTACTGCTGCCGTTATCTGTCTTGCAGCGAATGCTTTTACCTGGTGTCGCTCCCTCTGATCCTGATGTGTGAGATAGATAGGGATCCATCAGCCTAGGCACCTTACTGGCAAATAGAAGAAAAATAGATGAGAAAAATGAGATAAATTCTCTAGCACCACCCCTTGGTCCTTTGACAACTGGACTAGGAAAATCCCCCTTCCCTACTTCAGGAGTTAGATCAAAGTCACAAGGTATAATTAAAATCAATATTAAGAAAAGAAAAATATATAGCAATTACTTTATCTGTAAGTGGTCACATGTAAGAACAGTTGGTGGCAGAGGAAATTTAAAAAATGCTGTTTGAATTACAAACCCCACCTTTAAGGAATTTCTTGTAAACTTGGAGAAGGTTATAAGATGGGATGGATTTTTTGACTCCCTCCCTGCAGACTCCTCCATACGACTGCCCATCACACTCCATCACATGTTACCAGAGAGAGCTCTCTGACTCCCCAAAGGAAGCAAGCCATCCTGGCCACGAGTGTTAGCTTCAACTCCCAGAATCCCCAGTCAGCATAGTTGGACTGGACCTCTTCAAGTGTGCCAAGCCCCAAGAGCAATGCCACTCATTTATTATTTGTCTCGTCATCCAAACCGCTCTTAGCATTGCGTATACCACCATGAAGCTCAAATTACAGGCTGAAGCTTTAGATGAAACCTGAAGGCCAGGGACTGGAATAATAATGGGGGAAGGGAAAGTTACCTGAAGACCCAGCAGGAATAGTGTGGTGTCAGAGTTAAGTGTGGGAGTAGGACTAGAAAGACTCAGCTTCAAGTCCACCCTCTGTCCTGCAAGCTCCCTGGGTGACTTTGGGCCGCTCGTGATCTTCCAGCCCAACTCGCCCCATTAGGTTGTTGTAAGGAACTCTGTAAGAGGGATGCTGTGTAGGGTAGTTGGCTGTGCATAAAGCATGTAGCTCATGTATTATCACATACAGGATATCCCACCAAGCAGAACAGCAGAACACTACTGGTTGGTTGTCACCTACATCTCACAGCTCAAGCCACAAAAATGCATTACTAAGCTTCAGCCCATACCTGACAATAACTCTGCACTTTCTCAGGCCCTGGGTGACAGGCCCATACTTGCATGCAGACAATACCCAACCTGAAGCAGATTCTCACAAGCCACAAGAAGCAACAAGACAGTGATGCTGACGTGGGAACCAGACCCTCCAACAAATCCAGGTGTCTAGCTTGCCTCCACATCTACACCAACAGCACCATCACAGATTCCAACAGTTTCACAAATAAGACTAGATGCACACAAGAGCACATGCTTTTCTTCCAATGCCATCATCTGCCAGCGGTGCTCCTCTGGATTCTGTGTAGGACAGACAGGCCAGCTGTTTTGGAACAAAGAAATTTTATACCACCACAGTTGAGCACAAGACCAGTGAACTCACATGCATCAACAAGTTTCAGTTTATTTCAGAAGGTTTCAACATACACAATCAATGTTTAACACATCACAGCTGTTAACTCTTACGGTTCTTATAATCTGTCTGATGTGTAATCTGCCTAACCATTCTGTCCTCTCCTCCCTTTTCCCCCCACCTCATCTCAGTTTAAACCCTACATTAGTCAAGCCAGTCCATGCATCTGATGAAGTAAGCTGCAGCTCACGAAAGTTTGTACCTTTGGTTAGTCTGAAAAGGTGCTACCAGACTTTCTGATTTTTGGCTACCCTAGGCTAATGTGAATCTCCTCCTACAAGGACAATACAGAAAATCCTAAAGCAAATTGCTGTTAAGGAGCAAGACCCACCCCCAGTCTACTTTTTCTGGACTGATAGGGTAGAGATATTTAGTAATCAATTAACTAATTGGATCTATTCCTTCTGTAGAGTATTGGACAGTTTAGGAATTGCTTTGGGCAAAATAACATATATGCAAAAGGTTAAAAAGAGGGGGGGATTTGTTTGGTAGCCTAGATCCTGGTCCATCCTACTCCTCCATGGAGCCAATTCTTCAGCTTCTTGAATCAGTTGAGGGTGATGAGATTGGTGGGGAGGGGTATGTTGTTGGCTAAATGTGCTCTTCTTGTCCAGAAGCCAGCCTGGCTGAGGCTTTCCTCACTGGAAAGAGAGCACTGAGGCTGCAGATGGTACTTAGAGTCCTGTCAAAGACATAAACTTTTGAATGTGTTGTATTCCAGGCGAAGCAACAGCATTTCCAAGTCCCCTGGTCCCAGCTCCCCCAAGGAACCGCTCATCCTGAGCCGCGATATCAGTCGTTCGGAATCACTTCGCTCTTCCACTAGCTGTTCCCAGCAGATCTTCCGCCCCTGTGACCTGATCCATGGGGAGGTCCTGGGCAAAGGTTTCTTTGGTCAAGCAATCAAGGTGAGAAAGCCAGCTTGCCAGCCCCCTCTCCCAACACCCAGGCTTCACATGTTAATTTCATCCCCCCCCCAAATCCTCAGGAGCCTTGGAGAGGTGGCCCCTGAAGTTGAGTGAATTATAGAATTCACTACATACAGAACTGTACATATAGAATTTGCCAGTTCCAGATTTCTGCCATTGCATCTGGGTGGCAGTAGGTTGGGGAGGCTTGGTCTTGTGTGGTGGTTAGGGCAGGAGCTTTTCATCATGGAGGGAGGCCTACAAGGAAGATTATTGAAGTGAAGCACTACTGTGGGATTATAAAGAGGGAGGAGGGAGAACCTCATTGCTGGGGAGAAGGAGGGTGGATAGCAACTCTCTCCTCTGGCTGGGGTTGGGGCATCTTCGGTCAAAACAAAGATGGCTGGAGATGGGATGGAAGCCTTACCCAGAGCCTGCTTTCCTCCCTTCTTTGAGGCTCCGAGGTAACCCCTAGAACAGCATGCATGCATGTCTCAGGATTGTTTTGAAAACCACACCAACATTCAAAAAATGCACTGATATTGGGCTTAGTGTGCATTTGCATGCAGGATGACATCTAAAAGCTTACTGACTGCTAGAAAACATGTGATTCAAAGAGGGATGGTGGGACTGTCGTGGAATATGATACATGGAGTCTGTGAAAGAATTGAAGAAGCCTGCAGGACTGGCTTGAACCATCTGGTTAAGAAAATGCCAGATGTTTTGCGTCTAGCCTGTAAGGTTTGCCCCGTTCGACAGGGAGGTTCGACAGAGAAACTCCCGTGACACGTGTGGTTCACAAAAGAGGTTTACTCATGCGTAACGTAGCAGTCACAAGCAAAGCCAGGACTGGCTTGGTACATTTACATTACTCCTTTATAGTTGTTGTCTCAATCCCCCCACGGGCCCCGTTGCTAGGTTACATATTACAAATTAGATTGCAGATTGCCCCTGTAATCCCCCCCTTCTACTGGAATGGCAGGGTTAGCCCCCCTCTCTTTTTTTTTTTTTTTTTTTTT